TTTCCCCCCCCACTTGCCCTTCCACACCCAAAACGTTGGAAATGCCACGGGTATCTAGGCCACTCTGACCTGGAGCCAGAACCCAGTGGGTAAGCCTGGCCAAGCGACTCAGTCTCCTCAAGCCTCCATCCCCTCACTAGGGAAGTGGCTCACTGGCCTTCTTGCCAGAGCACTGTACGGTGGCACACGGCCTGGCCCGGCAGGCCACCAGCGTGTGACCACACTGCTCTCCCTCCCTCCTGGCTGTCCCTGATGTCCACCTTGACCTCATTACACCTGCAGAAAATGCAGCTGTGGGAGAGGGAGCAGGCGCCCCCAGAAGAGGCGGTGGGGGGCCCTCTGCGGAGAGGAGGGAGCTAACAGCGGAGGTCTGTCCTTCCTCCAGGTGTTTTGCACCCCTCCTCTCGCACCCAACCCTCACACCCCAGGACGCAGGGCCAACAGAAGCCCCATCTTAGAGGGGAGGAAGCCCAGCTAGCGGGTGGAGGAGGGCCTTGCTCAGGGCCGCAGAGTGGCCTCTAAGCCCCAGGCCCCACCCTGACTTACTCCACATGGCAAGGGCACCCACCAATGTGCACACCGGAAGTTGAGACACGGCGCCAGCTGAGCGCAACCATCCTCAGGGGAACTGACACTAGGCAGGGAACACCTCGAGGGTGGCAGCAGGGTCTCAGCAACAGGATTTCCGCCGTGGGCAGTGTAGCCTAGTAGTTATGAGCACCAGCTCCAAAAGTCAGCCGGGCCCTCCACACATGATCCTGGCTCCGCCCAGGACAGGTCACCTTTGTCCTCTGTGCCTTCATTTCCTATCTGTGAAGCAGGGATGCTGACTGTGGTCCCCACCTCAGAGGGCTGTTGTGAGGACTAGCACACACAGGCAAGCAGAGCACTCAACAAGTGCCTGGTGCGAACCTAGCACTTCATAAGTACATGCATTATTAGAATGAATATTGTTAAATGAATGAATGAACAAGACAGAATAATGAAATTAGAACTCTCCCTTCCCCACAAAATCTACCCCATGGGGCTCCAATATAAAAAGCTGCACCTCTGCCCTTTGTACCTACGAGGGTCCTTGGGAGAGACTCTCTAAACTCTGTAGGGCAGGAGTCAGCAAGCTGTTTTTTGTAAAGGGCAAATAAAAACAGCAAATATCATAGTTTGCTAGAAGGTCTCAAGCACAACCACTCAGCTCTGTGCTGGGACAATGAATGGGTGTGGCCATGTTCTAATAAAAGTTTATTTGCAAAATCAGGCTGCAGCCCACCTAGATACACAGGGTCAGCTTCCTCAGGTTCACACTGAGCTTCATAAGGTATGATCAGCCTTAGACTAATGACCCCTGCCCTCCTTCCAGATCTCTGCAGGCAGGTAGCTGAGGGCAGCATTTTTCCCGTAGCCCAGATCTGCCCCTGGGAGCTCACGACTGGCAGAAGGAGGGGTTTTCCCAGGGGAGGGGGCTCCCGCCAGCAGCCCTGGACACAGTTTGCACTCTGGGCACAAGGGTGACAGTGGTCTCCAGCTACAGCTGCCTGGGCAATAAAAACAGGAACCAGCCCTCTGGGCCACTATCTCTCTGAAACCAGAGTTCAGCAACTGAAAAACGACCAAAACGCAGGTGGCAGAGGTGGAGCAAGGTGGCCATGCTCCTCAGCACAGTGGCCAACCGCTAGGCCCCACCTCCACGGCCACAGGTGCTCTGAGGAGCCGGGCTCCAGAGCCAGCCCCACCCTTGGCCTTTGGGGGTCAGCTGCCTCGGCTCTCCCAGCCTCCACATCCACATGTCCCAAGCAAGGACACTGCCGCCTCCCTGGCCTAGCACTCAAGAAATTTTTTAAAAACCCAAAAGGTGTAAAGTTCACGTTTGGACCAGAGCCTGCCCAGCTGTGGCCTGCACAAAAAATAATAAAAATAAATGATAATGCTGGCTTTGATTTTCTAAGCAGCTGTGATGAGTCAAGTGTCCTGGTAGGTGTCCACGTATGATCTGATGCCCACAGTGATGCCGTGAGGGGGCATGGTCCTCACCTGCACTGTACAGGGAAGGGAAGCAGGGCTTCAGAGTGCTCAAGGGACTTGCCCACGGACACACAGGCTTCCCGCAGCAGGGCCGGGGTCACTCCGAGGTGACCTGGCTCCACTCTCCTGCGCTGTCAGGCACGAGAGAGCAGGGAGGCAGCCTGTCTCCTGGTTGAGACCCTTCCACCCTATTCCTGCCATTTGAAGACACGGATTCGTGCAGTGGCCCCCACCCCTCGCCCCAGCCAACAGGAAGGGCAGAGTGGAGGGAGTCAGAAGAGGGCACAGGCCTTCCCTAGGCCCAAGCCCACCTGCCTGCTACGTCATCACAGCCACCTCTGTGCCCAGGAGTGGCCTCACCTTTGCATACTCCGTATTCTGGGCAAGCGACTGCACTTCCTTCTCTTCTAGGCAGTTAAGGACTTAAGCTCAGTGCTGCTGGGTTGGACAGGGATGCCCGCTGGATGGAAAAGCTGCCTAGGCCAGACACCCTGTGCTGCAGTCACACTGCTCCCTCTCGGGCCCAGAGCACCCGGAGCCCACATCACCCCATGTCAAGCCGACTCTGTAAAACTTCATGTGCCCCGGAGACTCACTACCTTCCTTCATGCTCACTCAGCTTCCTGTTCTAAAGGGACTGAGGAGTCTTTAACCCACTGTTTCACAAATTTATTTGGCCACGGCTCCTCCTCTACAGATCCCCACATCCCAGATTCGGCCTCACGCACCTCTGCAGCCCATCCTGACTCCTCCCTCTCTGTGCTTCTCCCCTGCCGCCTTGGGGCCCAGCTCCAGCCTGACCTGCCACAGTCAAAGCGTGCCCGTGTCCACCACACCCTGAGCCCACCTGTAGGCGTGAGCGCAGCCACCTTGCCCTCAACCCCCATGGCTAGCAACTTGGTGAGGAGGAGAGACCGAGCAGGAAGATGAAAGAGCCTCACAGCCCAGTCCTTTCGGAAAAAGCAAGCAAGATACAAGCAGCATCTACTATGGGGTAACATGTTGTTTTAAAAAAGAAAACAATATATCTGCAAATCTACACATAGAAAAACATGAAAGACATACCTCAAAATGTTAGTAGTGATTATCTGAAGCAGGTAGTCAGCAAATGTTTTCTGCAAAGGGCCAGAGAGTGGCTGAAGGTTGCATCACTCACCAATGGCCAATGACTTAATCATGCCTACATAACGAAGTATCCAGAAAACCACAGCGTTTGAAGAGCTTCTGGGCTGCTGAACACACGGAAGGTGCACACCCGGAGGGGGCAGGACCCCTCTGCACTCCCCCACACACCTTGTTCCACGCATCTCTTCCACCTGGCTGTTCCTGCGTTGTACCCTTTTATAATGCACTAGTGATCTATTAAACTGTAATCAAACTGCTTTCCTGGGTTCCATGAGCTGCTCTGGCAAACTACTGAACCTGAGAAGGGGTCATGGGAACCTCTGATTTGTACCCAAGCTGGACGGAAGCTGTGATGACCTGAGGACCTACTGCTTGCGATGGGTGTCTGAGGTGGGGGAGGGAGTCTAGTGGGACTGAGCCTGTGGGGTCTGTGCTAACTCCCCCAGCGTCGGAAGTGAGCTGAACTGTAGGACACCCAGCTGTGTTGGAGAATTGGTTGTGAGTGGGGGAAACCCACACATTTGGTCACAGAAGTGGCCCGTGTTGTGTTGAAAGTATAGAGGAGGCAAAAACAGTAAGTTTGTTTTTCCTACTAAACAGGTACCATGTGCAAGAATCATCTACCCAAAAACAGGTTAAAGGAAAGGAATGAATAAAGTGAAATTTAACAAAATAAATCATACCAAAAACGACACACGGGCTCCAGAGGACTCCAGGCAGTCAGTGAAAGGAAAGCCATGCGCTCCCGGCCCCGGGTCTCCTTGCCAGGGAGGAGGAGGTAGCAGCCGCGTGGCCGAGGTGAGGTGTGACAGCCACCCTCGGGCACTGGCTACACGTGGCACTCGAGCCCCCCTCTCGCCAGTGACATCCTGCAGCCCGGCCCGTGGTGTCTGCACAGGACTGTGCTGATGCAGAGGAGGGAGCTGAGGGGCCCAAAGTCTCTGCTGCAGAGACAGGCAGGGAACCCCAGCCCCTGCCGGGGGTCTCCGGACTGGCAGAGGCATCTCCCGCAGACAGGGCTGAGCACCCACAGAGCCGCCTTGGAGCCACTCTCACCTGCAGCACGCATTCCTGATCTCGCAGCTTCTCTCTCCCTCACCACCGCCACCCAACACACCGTGAAGCAACCACTCCTGGCCTGGCAGCCACCGCCGACCGCCCCTGCGCTATTCTCAGAGAGGGGCCCTGCTTCCCCCAGGAGCAAACGCCTAACGGAGGCATTCCAGGCACCACAGGCAGGTGAGTTTTCCCAGGGGCCCTTGAGACAACGAACAGGAAGACAAGCTTTTACGCCACCTCATCAGCATGGACAGTCGCAGCCCCCAATGGTGCCAGGCCTTTATTTTCACTACACTTCCCTTCACGCCACCATCCCTTGAAAGCTGGAATGAGCGGGAATCAGCCTTTGCATTTGATTTCTGGGGAACCTGAAGCTCAGAGAAACGAAATGACTTTACCCACACTGCAGATGACAGCGAACACAGCCAGACTAGCACCCCACTGCCTGCTCACTGTCCTCTGCTCTTCAGACATCACCTCCCAAGCACCCAGGCTCCCGGCACTCCCCCCTCTCTCAAGAAACCGCGCCCGTTTCTCTTCTCAGCACTTTCCCCAAGCAGGCGCAGGCTTTATGGCTTCAGCAGCTTCCTGAAGCTTGGCGCTTCCAAGCCAGCGCGCCTCCGCACACCTCCGTCTGGCAAGACGTGACATGAGCCAGCCCCACTCGATCCTCTCCCGCCCGAGAGCACGCGTGCAGGCACACACGCCAGAGGAGCCGAACACCATCCTTAAGGCCATGTCAGAAGCCGTGGACCAGAGAGAAACGTCCAGGTCCCGCTCGACTGCCAGCAACCTACCCCTTCTTCAGGTTTTTCACGTAGGCGCTCTGCAGGGCGGCTTCCAGGAAGTAGGTGAGCTCGTAGTCAACCGGGGGAGAGCCTTTCAGATGCCTCGATGTGATGCTATTTGTGGTCTGGGAAGGGGAACAGAGAGAGAGCCACTGTCTCAAAGGTCTGAGGCAGAGGGGCCGGGAGCAAGGATCACTCCAGCTGGAGGAGGTGGCCTGTCACCATCCCAGTCCCAGCCTGGGGTACGTGGTGCAATTCTTTATAATATGTCTGAGGCACTCCCCATTCAAACGCTGGATGCCTACAAGCCCCATGTCTAAAATTATTTATTCAATAATCCCAGAGCTTTATATTCATTAACTCATTTAGTCCTTATAGCAACTATATCAGGTAGGAACGGTCATCATGCCCATTTCACAGATGAGAACACTGAGGTGCAGAGAGGCTCTCTTCCTGCCCTGAGGTCACTCAGGTTGTGGGTGGTGGAGCCAGGTGGTCAGGCTCGAATCTATACTCTTACCCTCCGTGCCGAGCACTCCTTCTTCAACCGGACAGTACTGGCTGCCTGAGCATGCGGTAGGAAACCACCTCCCATAGCACCACTTTCCTGCTCTCCTGCATGCGTGCAAACCTCATCTCCCCCCAGACTTTACTCCCACAGGGCAGGGGCTCTGTCTCCTGATCCCACTGCTGTCCACACCCCCATCTCCACCCCAGGTAAGGAAAGAGAGGGACGAGAAAGCTTATGAAATAGCCACAGAGAGCCAACATCTTTAAACCTCACAACGGCCCTAGAAGGCTGGTTTTGTCTGCATTTTATAGAAGAAAAAAACCGAGGCTCAGAAAGTGCCTAGGGTCACAAAGTCTAGACAGCTACAGATTCCAGGCTATTGCTACTACTTACTTACTGGTCCATTCATTCCACAAACATTTGAGTGCCTACTATATGCCAGGCACTGCACTATCCCTGTCATGCAAGCATGGAATGTCAGAACTCCCCAAGGGCTGAGACTCTTGGTTCCAGGAAAAGCTGAGGAACAATTACATTTTGCACTGAGCTGTCTCTTAAGCCTCAGTGCTAACAGGGTCACCCAGCCCCATTCAGACAGGCCTGCCTTCGGTATGCTACCTCCCTTGTCTGATTGAGAGAAAAAAAAAATCAGTGAGCCATCCATCCACCTTATCTTTCAGAAATCGAAGTAGATTTAAGAGAGGTTCTTAGAATCTCAGAGGCCGGGGCTGGGTCTCAGGAGGGATGCACAGCATTTCAGAGAATGCACAGGGTTCAATGGCCTGCCCTCCCTCCACTAGGGATAGCCGGGCATCGGGCCCACCTGTCTGCCCATGGCCACCAGGCACTGATTCCGGCCTGGACACTCTTATAGCTCAACACCTTCATCTCCTCTGAAAAGACCAAAGCCTCAGCTTCCAGCTGAGAAGCAGACTTTATCTTCTTCATGAAAGTTTCCCCCGAAGCACACGCAACGCAGAGGAGAGGAGCTCCTAAAACGCTGCTGTCTGGCAATGACCAGCTGACCTTGGTGGAGGTCAACTCAAGCATGCCATGTCTCCCAGTGGCCTCGGCCAGGGAACGGGCACTCGAGCCCCTCAACCCCTTCACCTTTCCTCGCGGAGTCCAATCAAGCAGAGGGACCCTGGGGCAGTGGCTCCTACTGGGGGGCGATTTTGCCCTCAGGGGACATTTGGCAGTATCTGGAGATATTTTTCGTTGTCACAAATTGGGTGCGGGGGCGCTGGTGGCAGCTAGCAGTTGGAGGCCAGGGATGCTAAACAGCCCACACCACACAAGGCAGCAGCCACAATAAAGAATCCTCTGCCCCAAACGTCAGCGGTGCTGCGGTTGAGGATCCCTGCTCTGGGGACGTGGCCTGGCCTGAGGTGGACGCCTCCAACAAGGGCCCGTCACAACCACGGGTGCTGGGCTGACACTCTGTCATGTGCCAAAGTAGGTGAGGAGCAAGTGTCTCCTGGGCTCTAATTCTCCCAGCTCATGATCACTTCCGCCTTCAGGGTACCAAGCCCGTCTGCTCTGCTATGGGACCGAGTCTAACACCCTGAAACATCTACTAAACAGAATGCCTCAGCACCACCCCCGGGGTGTCCCCCACGAGTACTCAGAGCCGCACTCCCTGGGTTCAGTCCTGCCAATGTCACTCATTACCTGTATGAACTCCAGTAAGCTATATACTCCTCTCCAAACCTGAGTCTTCTTATTTGTAAATGGGAATAACGACAGTACCTATTTCACCCTGTCCGTGTCTGTAAATTACAGAACGAGTGTAAAGCACTCAGAGTAGTGCCCGACACCCAAACAGGCAGTCAGCGAATGCTAGCAGCATCTCCCCGAATGTAGGTGCCTGTCCCCTCGCAGTAAACCAACAAACAGCCTTGGAAGGGAGAGGACTGGGAGGCTCACCCGGAACACTACTAACACGCAGGCCACCATGGGGAGCGGAGAGACGAGGGACTGAGACCTGCCACAGCCCTGCTGGCCAGCTTGTTGCTGGCCTCCCAAGGCTTGTGGAAGTTCAGAGGAGAATGAGCACGGAAGGACCCCGACTGAAACCTCGCGGGTGCAGGACCGGTTCGATCGGACAGCTGAAGGCTTATGCTGAGAACTCAAGTGGACGACAACATGGGTGCCAAAATGAGAATGGGCCCTTGGCTGAGAGACCACGGGTAGAGACTAGACACAAGGCAGACCAATCCAGGTCCTGATACCTACTGCGATCTTCACGAGGAATCACAGGAGTGGGGAAAAAACCAATGATATTATACTCTGTCTCCATAAAAACACCATCGTCTCTCAGCATCATGAAGGGAGGCAAGATGCACACCTCCCCGCCCCCCGCCAGCTTCCATGTACACAAAGAGGCTGTATGGAGTACGGAGCACGCTATAACTCGGATGTCTTCTCCCTCACCCAGCTGCTATCTAAACAAGTAAATTACACTGCACCCAGGGCTGTCACGTTATATTGTACTGTTTAAGTGGGAGTACTCCCAAGGACTTCTCTAATTTGTCGCTTTTACAACCTCATTCACGGAAATAGGCACGGGAAATCAAATCTAGTTTTGTCAAAACTATTTTCTGTAGGTGCCATGAACTTGCTGTCTTGCTGGCACACATGAGGACTTGTGTGTAGTAAAATAAAAAAAAATAAGTAATATTGATAAATGTATACCATTATATTCCCTAAGATAAAATGTCAAAAATACTATTATTTTTAAGTGAAAGGAAGATATATGGCAATAATAAAATTTAAACTATAACTAAACACAACATTTCTTTGGATCTGTCATAAGTACGTCATAATATTGTCTTCAACTTGTCTATCAAGATTATTGTTAATTTTGAATTAATGTTGCTCTCTTTATGTAATGGTTTTCCAACCCGATGAATACCATTTGTTAATTGCATGGTTTCATGAAGGTGTTGCGTAGGACGCCTTTAACTCCTAGTTGCAGAGAGAAACATCCTGAACTGATCTAAAGTGGTGACCAGGCTCGGGTGGGGGCCTGTAGATGCAGCGTGATACCTGGATATTGCCGACTTGGTCAAGCATATGATTGTGAATCAGATTTGATGGACAGACGGCGCAGTGCCAGATGCCTTATTCAGATGGGGACGAAGGTTGTGAACTCACGCAGCTCACTTCTCATACACTTGCGGGGAGCCAACACTTAAATTTCTCTCTGTTGAGCGAACCCTACGGAGTTGAGGGGCAAACCTCATCGGAAAACCTGTTGCTGGCGATTCACTTTACGACCACTCTCCTCCTCTTCGATCTCTCAAGTTGTGCTGTACAGCGCAATTAACTCAAAAGATTGAGAAGGGATGAATCTCTAAAGATCTTCTCTC